GCTCAGCTACGCTGACCCAGATTATTGGCTGGGTGCACTTCTGCTCGCATTCGAGTCCCACCAAAAAGGTCCCCTGGAGCGTACGGCAGGGCTGCCCATTGTTATTGGTTTTCCTGAATCTGACAATAAAATTACTGACCTGCAGATCAATGTGCCGCCTGCAGCCATGGTGGCCTTCTTGGCTGGCCGCGCTTATCGGTGTCCCACGTGCCCTACTACCAAATATGTGATGGACGCGCACAGTGGACTGCCACAAGTCACTGGCCAAGCCTCCCAAGAAGCCTTGCAGGCATGGGCCGCAGCTGCTAAGCACACGGACGTGGAAACGGCCAGGCTTGCCCAGCCCAGCCTGAATACGTTCCTAGGCATCACGCTGCAGGGCACACAGACACTTGGGCAAAGGCACTATCAAGAATTTAGGCCGGACCTCCCCCCTGCCCATTTCCTTGACGCCATCCGGCTTGCTCTTGCGGCCTCGGTGGCCAACCAAAACATTGAACATTTTTGGTCAGTTTTTAACTTGGAATGGCCTGACACTTCTCACAGAATGGCTGTTTTTCTACGGCGAGTGTTGCCCCTAGAGTGCTTGCTCTCCTCGCCCTGTGCTGCGCCTGTGGAAGCGAACACTGCAGCAACCTCGCCGGAGGTCGTCAGCATCTCTTCCGAAACTAACGAAGGCTCTCCCTGCCCGATGGATGACATGTCAGACGCGGAGGACGAACCCGAGGCACAGGTGAATGATTGGCGCTTCTCGGAGCTGCGAACCACTGACCTTGCAGCTTTGCGAGAAGTGGATGTCTCCGCCCCTTTCCGGCTGCCAGTCATCTTTGATGCGCATTGGAAAGGGATCAGCACCACACCCACCAAGCATGGGCCCCAACGTCCCCAAAATGCGTGGTATGACGCAGCCACTGCTCATTGGGCTGCCATTAAGGGGCTCATGCGAGCCAAACATCCAACCAAGCAGCGACTCAACAGCTTCTGGTTTAGGATGTACTGTCATGGCACCCCCAAGGACCCTGATCCTTCGGCCCTGCGTGCTGCAGTCACCTCCTTCCCCTTTCAGTATAAGGACGAAGGTGTTGTGCAGTACAGGCAAATCCAGGAAGCTGTCCGGGTGATGTGGCTCGCGGCCCAAACCTCAATGACAAGATACATGCGTATCCCCATTCCGGACGGCATCCCTGAGTGGGGGGTTGATGAGCAAGAGCTGCCTCCAATGCAGGTCATGCCCAGCCGTACCGCAGGGAAGCGCTCCCATACCACCTCAGCTGGCCATCGCTCCCGGCGTCCGGACTGGGATGGCTCCTGGCAATAGACAGCAAACTGTCATCTGAGGGCTCCTACTGACGCCATGCGAACGCACCATTGAGTCCCTTCATGGCATGCTGCCTAGCGTGATGTGAGCCCTCACATCTCCTCGCCGATACATGCCGCAAGATTACCTAGGGATATTCTTGGTTTGGCAACCCTCTCGTGGTCTATGCCACGGATTGGATCGTGCTTGTCTTTTGTGTGCTTACAGCTTGCAGCTGTGAACACCCTTCCGGGTCGGCCCCGCGGTGTGCCTGTGGGAACGGGGGGCCTTTCTTTCGTGGTTGCTCCACTGGCCATCTGCCACGGACTACCCTGGACCGGTCCTGCCTGGATGTTCCAGCTTTGTCATCGGTAAAACGGCCAATCTTCCTTTCCTCTGCCCCCTCTAGGTGGGCAGGTTGCCCGCTTCTATGTGCTACGACCGTGTGTGAACCCCTCGGACTTGAGTGTTGACCATCTCTCGTCTGGACGGTGACACCCCCTTGTCGTACAACGGCGTCATGCCAATTGGGAGAGACCAGCTAGGGGATGCTGCTTCTGGGCTGTGGACACTTCTACGCGGAGATCAGGTTTCCACTTCCCTGGCAATGTGCCATCGAGCACCTGTGGACAACCTGGCCTTCACGAGAGCCATTCTCGCCTGTGCTTGGGTTGCTGCGGGGTTCCCTGCCTGCTTGGGTGTATATCTCTGCTTGCGTCAAAGCAGCCATACATGACTACCTCCCCATCGGTAGGTGGCCAAGCGTGATGTGAGCCCTCACATCTCCTCGCCGACTTCTGTCGGTTTGGGCATGGAGGGTCTGATTCTGGTTATTGAACCCTCAACCCTCACCGGCCAAGGAGATAGTTGCTTGGCCTTGAGTGCGAAGTTTCGACTGGGGGACTCTCCCGCTTCCTGCGGGGCAGGTGGGGTCCCCGCCTGCTTGGGTTTACCTGATGGCTCTGATTGGAACGAAGCAGTCATGCCTGCTTTGGCCGTCGGACGAGACTCTTGTGAGTCAAAAGAACGTTGCGCCTTGTGCTCGGAGAGGCTCCACTGGCTGACCACCATGGAGTGCTCTGGGCTGGTCCTACCCTTTGTTCTTGCCGTTAAGTCCCCACTGGCTGACCACCATGGGGCAACTTTATACTTCGGATCAAGAAGGTTGACACCTGCAACGTCCCGTGCCAAGGCACGACTATGCCCCACCTGTGATGGCGGACTTGTGAACCTTCTCGTGAACGGCCTTGGCTGGTGCTGAATGTATTCGCATCGGTGGCTGCATGATGGTGGTTTTGTGAATCTGGCAACGTCGCATTTTGCGACGCACCTGCGCACTCGGTGCTACATGTGTGCTCCCGGCCTCTTCGACGATTTCGAGTACTGAGTGCACAGGGTGACCTAGCAGTTCGGCGCGCTGGCTGTGGACACTTCTACGTGGAGATTATGCACCCGCTGACTTGGCAGGGAGCCATTCCCCACTTGTAGAACAACCTGGCCCTCTTGAGACTCTAGAGGGTCACCCTCGTCTGAGCTTGGCCTGCGGCAGGGCAAGTGGGCTCCCCGCCCGCGTGGATGTTACCTGAAGGCTCTGATTGGACCAAAGTAGCAATACCATGGAGATCCTTGCACTTCGGCACCAATGTGATGTGAGCCCTCCCATCTCCTTACCGACGTACCTCGCGGGTTTGGGTTTGGAGGGACCTGATGCGTGCCGATGCGCAGGCCAGCGCCAAGGTTGCGTGGCCTTGTGTGAGATGCCTGGACTGGGAGGTTCCTCGTTGTTATTATAAACCCTGTGGCGTTAAGGGTTTGGTAACTCGCTGTGGACTCTCCCCGTGGAATCGGTAGCTGCAGCTACTCTCGCCCCCCCTCTGGCCGTGCGCGGGCACCTCTCTGGGTGGGCACTTGTACGCCAGGTTGACTGGAGAACCCTGTGCTCGGTACTCCACTGGCTGACCACCATGGAGTGCCCTGGGCCGGTCCTGCTTTGATTGTTCTTGCTGTTAAGTCCCCACTGGCTGACCTCCATGGGGCATATGCCCCCTGTGCCGGGCGCGGACACCTCTCTGGGTGGGCACTTGTACGCCAAGGTGAATGGAGCGCCCAGAGCTCGGAGCTACTCCGCTGGCTGACCACCATGGAGTGCCCTGGGCCGGTCTTGCCTTGATTGTTCTTGCTGTTAAGTCCCCACTGGCTGACCACCATGGGGCATATGCACATCTCTCATCCCCCCTAGGGAGTCTGACTTGCAACATCCTTTCGCCATTGAGTGTCGGTTGTCTGTCATTGACAACGAGTACGTGATCCGAACCTCTTCTGATGACCTCGGTTTGAATAACCGCTGTCGCACCAGTGGCTACATGATGGTGGTTTTGAGAATCTGGCAATGTCGCAATTTGCGATTCCCCCACAAGCTCTGTGCTTCCTTGTGAACCGGGACTTCATTGACGACTTCGAGTACTGAGTCCGTGGGGTATCTAGTAGTTCAGCGCGATTGCTCGCTTTGTTTCTTTGGTGTTTGTTTGCTTGGTGGTTGCTTGGTGTGTCTGGCGGATTGTGTGCGCTGACTTTGTTTCACCCTTTACGTCGAGCCCAACAAGACCGGCCTACTGTGCTACTGATGTAGTAAAGAGGCGTCAGTCCAAAAAAAAAAATAAGGCGCTTAAGCCCTCGGCCCTTGTTGTTGACTGCCGTCTTTTCTTGCCTTGCGGAAGGAAGGATTTGTGCAACATTGGCAAACCCTAAGGTTCACTGCTCCGCTATGTGCTGGTGTTTCCCCATGGAATCGGTTGCTACTAATGCGCATTGACCTCCTGATGTGAGCCCCCATCTCCTTACCGACGTACCTAGTGGGTTAGGGTTTGGAGGGACCTAATGCAGACTGATGCGCAGGCCAACGCAAAAGCTGTGTGGCCTTGTGTGCGTGTCTTGACTGGGGGTCGTCACTTTAAACTCTGGTTTTAAGGGTTTGGCAACGTGCTGATGACGCTCACGGTGGAATCGGTAGCTGTAGCCACTTACGCAGTAAAGGCTTGGCCTCCCTCTGGCCGTCTGATGAGACTTTGCTTGTGCGCGGACATCATCCAGGTGGGCGCAGCTGCAAGCCAGGGTGAGCGGAGAACCTTTCGCTCGGGGCTGCTCCACTGGCTGACCACCATGGAGTGCCCTGGGCCGGTCTTGCCTTGATAGTTCTTGCTGTTAAGTTCCCACTGGCTGACCACCATGGGGCATACGTAGTTATTTTCACGGTGCAAGTTAGGGTTTTGGTTTTGGGTGGAAGAAACATGAATTGTCTCGCTCTGCCAGAATGCAACATCCACAAGCATAAGTCGAAGAGTTTAAAGGACACGGTGGTGCTGGGCTCTCTTGTGCTTGCAGATCCAGACATGAGAAACAGCGCGTTACAACGGGGGCTTTCTCGCAGGTCCGATGAGGATCCTAAACCCTAAACTCTAAACCGCCGCTACTTGGCCAAATGTCTGTGTTTTTTGTGCGATCTCTCGAAGACAAACGCTAAATCCTCGAAACACCAATTTTTTCCGATTTTCACGAAAATCTCTTGAGAATCAATTTTCTGCGAAATTTGCAAAAACCCGATTTCCGGGACCCCCGCGATTCCCCGCGATTCTCCGCGATTCTCCGCGAAATGCCCCGCGAACGCTTCTGAGTCGTTTCTGATCTACGCAGACAGGCCCGCGAAATGCCCGCGAACGCTTTTGAGTGGTTTTTCATCTACGCAGGCCCGCCCGCGATTCCCCGCGATTCTCCGCGATTTTCCTGGGTTCTTGTGGGCGCAATGATGAGTTTGTGCAGCTTGTTAGCGCTTTGCATGCCCGAGCCTCCAGGGCCATGGAGGTCTGTGCCATCTCAGGAAGTGCTCCTCTGCTGGGAGCCCATGCGGTTGCAAACTCTCCTCTTGGGTTCTCAGCCAGGATGCCCCAGGCGAAATTGTCCGTTTTCCAGGGAAAACCCAAGATTCCGCCCCAGGCGGAATTGTCCGTTTTCCAGGAAAAACCCGAGATTCGGCCTCCACCTGTTCAAGCGCCCGCGCAGCATTCCATGTGTCCTTCTTCGTGTGTGTGCTACGACATGACATATAGTGATGATGATGCACACTGGTTGTCATGGGACGATGATACCCAGGAGCCTGTTCCACCGGGTAATGTGCGTGCCCTCCAGTGGCAAGGTGACCATGTGCTCCACCAGCAGGTGGAAATCGTGTTGGACTCAGGCGCTGACCACTCTTGCCTGCCTGAGTCCTATGCCAATGTGGGTCGCAAGGTTGCATCTTCCAACCACTGGTACCGGGATGCTCAGGGAAACCCTTTGAAATCGCATGGCATCCGTGAGGCCGTCCTTGAGCTCAGCGGTGCATCTGTGAAGGATCGCTGGCTCATTGCACCCGTGACGAGTCCCCTGTTGTCACTCGGCAAACTCTACCGTGTCGGGTGGAGTGTTGGCAGAGATCAAGACGACAATCTTGTGCTTGAACGCGATGGCATCAAGATTCCTGTGTACCTGAAGCAAAATTCCTTGTGTGTGCGTGGTGACATCCGTGTTGTGATGAGTGACCCCACCTGTGATGTGCGCGCTTTGCAGCTTCATGGTCCGTTCCTTGCACTCACCGAGAGGTTCCAGGTGTTGTCTGAAGGTGTGCGTGCCAACCGATGCAACTCTTCGTGCTTGATCGACTGTGCTACTGCTCTTGCAGCGCATGATGTCAGGTTTCGTACGACGCTCATAAATGGGCCACAAGGTTGGAAGTTGCACGAGCTGAATGCAGAAGTGGCACGTCTTGATGATCCTGAGAGTGCTTTGCCTCACCAAGGGATTGAAAGGTTGCATGAGATCATCACCATTGCCACTTCCGCCCGTGTGAACATGCTTGACCTGTTCCCTGAAGGGGACATCCCTGCCCCGGCACAGCCAGTGCCAGTGCGTGCTGAATCGGATGATGACGACCCAATGCTTCCTCTTGAAGGCCTCAACGAAGATCGTGATGTGATTGAAGATCAGGGTGCAGGCATTGGACGACGAGCAAAGAGCTGCAAATCCGAATGCTGAGTATGTTGTGGTTGACGGCGTACGTCTGAGCATGGACTGCACTTTGGCCACCCTTAGGGCAGCATGTGTTACGCTTGGATTGGGCAAGAGCGGGGGAAAAGCAACGGTCCTCAAACGCATTCAGGACCACCTTCGCCGGCATGAGCTTTTGGAAAGGCATCATGCAGAAGCCGACGACGGCGCAGCTGTGCCACGTGAGCAAGCGCCGGTTCGCATGCCCACCGATGAGCAGAGGCGTGCTCATTCCTTGACACATGTTCCTTATGAAGCCTGGTGTCCGTTTTGTGTCCAGTTCCGTGCTCGCAGCGATCGACATGAAAGGTCAGGTGGCAGTGAACGTACATGTTCCACGTTGTCCTTTGACTTTGCTTACACTGGTCGTCCGAAGGACCCCGCAAAGAAGCTTGTGTGCCTTGTTGTTGCTGACAGCCACACTGGATCTCGCAATGCGTGGGCCTTGCCCCGGAAAGGAGGCACTGAATCGATGCGCTATGCTACAGCCGAGCTCTGTCGCTATCTCAATGTCTTGGGGCACAATGAAGTCACCTTGAAGAGTGACAATGAGCCGACATGTTTGGCGTTGAAGGCGGCAGTGAAGGCGTATCGCACCAAGCTTGGGTTGAAAACACACATAGAAGCCCCTGAGCCTGGAGACCACCAAAGCAATCCTGCTGAACAGGCCATCGAGTTCTTGCGCCAGTTGACATGCACCATCCTTGCTGAGTATGAAAAGGAGACAAAGACCGCAGTTGGATCTCTTGATCCCATCCATGGATGGGCCTGGCGGCACGCCGGATGGATGGCACACAGGTTCGTGAAGAGCCATGGGATAACCAGCTTTGAGTTGGTCACAGGTCGTCCGTACAACGGGAAGATCATATCCTTTGGTGAGACCTGCTTTGGTCGCATCCGTAGCAAAGTCAAGGGTCATCCTAGATGGGTTAGAATGCTGTGGCTGGGCAAGCTGACTGTGTCCGACGCACATGTCGGCGTGACGCCTGGAGGCTTCTTGGTCTCGTGCCGGTCAGTGAGACGCATCCCCGAGCGTTTCAGTGATGAGCTTTGCACTGTGTTGCGAGATATGCCATACTCGCAAGCAGCTTTCCTCGCCGGCCATGTTGGACAAGCACGGGCACAGCGTACACCTGCGGGTGATGACGGGCCAGCTGTCAACGCAGAGGTGGTGCCGCCCGAGGCACCTCCACCAGAGCAGCGGCTCCTGCCTGACGACGCAATGCTTTCCGAAATTGTTCCTCAATTGCCTCGTCCAAGCATTGCAGCGGGAACGCCAGAGCCCCCAACGCCTCACCAGGCGGGGATTGCCTCAGCTGATGCAGTCAATGAAGATGTCGCAATGCCAGAACCAAGCCCTGCGGGTGTAGGGGCCAGCCCTAGTGGTTCTAGTTCCAGTGGGTCTAGTGGTTCTAATCAGGCTGGCCGTAGTCCTCCCGAGACCCCTGCAGATCATGTTGCGCCCGGAAGCAGTGAGCCTGCGCCTGTGCGAAAGAAGCTTCGTCTGATGGCAGTCACGAAAATTGGAGACCAGGAGTTTTATCATGTGGATGGCGAGTCACCTGATGAAGAGATCGAGGCGGATCTTGGTGACGGTGATCTTGAGATTGCTGATGATGGACAAGAGCAAACCCTTGACATGCCCCAATCCTTGATATTTCCTTTGGACCACGGTGAACCGGAACTTTCCGACGAAGAGTTGGCACGCATCGATCAGATCGCCATGGAGTACGAGCTGCAGCGGCTCGGGCGCATGAAAGTCTTGGCCCAGGTCGATGGTCCGATCCCGGGACACAGGACCCTGACCACGAAATTCGTGGTGACATGGCGTTTGAAATCGTTCGGGTGGATTCGACGTGCCCGCCTAGTAGCCCGAGAATACCACTTCCTGGACCCAGGACGCACTGGGTTATACTCACCAGCTTCGAGCAGTCTAACCACAAGGCTCGTACCGGCCCTGTACATGACACACCGGAGCCAGGGATGGCATATGCTGTCGCTCGACGTGAGCGACGCCTACTTGACTGTAAGTCAAGAGGTTGATACGGTGACGTCAGTTAAGGTGGGTAATGGTGTAGTGGTCTGGTTTAAAATACACAAATGCCTGCCGGGACAGCGTGACGGCTCTGCAAGATGGTTTCGGGATTTCCAGGATGTGTTGGTTAGCCAATGCTGTGTGCAACCTTTTCCTGAGATGCCATCGCTGTTCCGTATGCCTCCAAATGAAAGCAGTGAAGGCGCAGGCGGGGAGTTTGAGCCGAACCCAGGTGCCATGGGGGAGGCCTCGTGCATGTTGATGACCTTCTTGCAACGGCCCACGGTGATACGCTTGAACATGTCGTTGCAAAGCTAAGTGAGCGCTACACCATCGCTGTACAGTGGATCAAAGACATTGGGGACGAATTGACGTTCCTAAAACGAGTGCATCGCTTGATTTCGGACACTGAATTGGAGATTCAGGTGCCACCTAAGCATGTGGATAAACTGCTCGAGTTGTGCAACCTCAAAGGTGCCAAACTTCGGCCCAGGAAAACCCCGTTTCCTTCAGGTAGATTGCCGACCGATGACCCTGGTGACACCGAGCTGCCAAACGACATGGCATCCACATACCGGTCCGCAACGGGCATCTTACTCTATTTGCAGTCCGATACCGTTGCATGCCAGTTCAGCATAAGGTTCCTGGCAGGGTTCATGCAGAAGCCGACATATGGCACCTGGAAGCTGCTTAAGCACCTGGTTTCGTACTTGGCCCAGCATGAGCATCATCGTTTGGTCATTTCCACACCGGCAGTCGGTGTAGGCCTTAAGGTCCAGAAGGCTGAACATATCGTTGAGTGCTACACTGACTCAGACTGGAGTGGTTGCCGGCTGACACGCCGGAGCGTGTCTGGATGCGTGGTGCTGCTGAACTCACAGCTCCTTCATGCCTCATCGCGCACGCAGCGTGTGGTTTCCTTGTCATCTGCAGAGAGTGAATTCCACAGTGCAGTCGGTGGCTGCATCGACGCCATCCTGTTGCATCGCGCTGTGACCTTCATGTTTGGTCCCGTTGCACCCATCCAGCTGCTAATCGACAACGCCGCAGCGCGTGCGATATGCATGCGCACAGGTGTTGGACGTGTGCGCCACCTTGATGGTAAACTGTTATGGTTGCAGTCCAAAGTAGCTGATGGTTTGGTAAATGTAGTCCCGGTTGAGACGGCTTGCAACGTGAGTGATGTGGGTACCAAGTCCTTGAACCCAGGTCGCACCGAATACCTTTTGGGGCTGATGGGCATCAAAGATGCAGACAACGGCTATGCCCCTCTTGGACAAGCGCATGCAGCCATGATCGAGAATGCACGTGCAATCAGAGCAGTGTGTCGTGACTTGAAGCATTTTGCCAAACGTGGTGAAGCAAGTGCTCAGATGCTGTCGATCATGCTTCTTGCACTTCAGATGACGCCATCGTCTGGTCAGCCTGATCAGGATGACGACAGTGATGAGAACACAGGATTGTTCCATCAGTGCCTGATGTTTTTCTTCACAGTTCTTGAGTGCTTCGGGGAATTTTTGAGCCAGTATCCGTCCGTCGCAAGCGCTGGGTTGCAAGTGATGTTGCTCATCGTTTGCATGTTTGCCGCATCTTGCTGTTGCCGACATCGTGAGCCAGAAGCATTGTCGGTGCAATTGCAGGTTGGAAACTACGCAAACTACGTAGAAGCCGATGTAAGGTTGAGCAAAGGTCCACGCACGGGTGCTGTCGGTCGGTTCCACAATAACAAACTTTTCGGTTAGCCTTGTGCCCCCCTGTAGAAGTATTTTTCCTTGTCGTTTCACTGCTGCCAACAAGGCTCAAGGGACTGCTGAACAGACCGAGTCCCAGCAAAAAAGTGCCCGCTAGTGGTTTCAAGTTCAAGGGTCTGGAACGAACCCTAAATCGTTTTATGGTAGCGGAGCTGAAGGCCTAGACCTTTGGTTCAAAGTGAGCCCAAGAAAGCGCTCTGGAGGAGCGAGGACTGAAGTCCAAAAGAGCCTTGGGCCAGCTACCAAGCGAGCTCCTTAGGGGAGACTGTAAACGAGGCTGAGAGGAGCCTGGAAGTGTGAAAGAGAAGAAAAGTGTGATGCAAGAAGGAGATCCTGCTGGAGCAGGAGCTCAAGAGCATGGAGGAGACACTCCAAGCGATACTCCAATGGCTAGGCCAGCTGGAGGAGGATTGCCCCCAGGTCTCGGGGGAGCATCGTTTCAAGAAGTGATGGGAAGTTTGGCCGCAGCAGCCAATGCTTTGGCTGGAGCTGCAGGATCTGCAGGATCAGGCCAGAGGAGTTATGACTCAGCAGCAAAGCTGGTAAAGAGTCCAGAAGTGTTTGCTCCAAAGAATTTAGAGGAAGAAGTTTCACAATGGCCAGACTGGAGTTTTAGCTTCAGGGTGTTTGTAGGATTTGTAGATCCTAAGTATGCCGAAGAGTTGGTTAGGGTAGAGTCAGGACCGTTGAATCCGGCTCTGTATTCGCAAGAAGAGAAAGAGAGGAGCATCAAGCTCTATGCGATTTTGGCTTCATATCTGAGGAATCGTCCTCTGAAGTTGTTGAAGTCCGAAGGAAGTCAGGATGGCTACAGTGTGTGGAAGAAGTTGTTTCAGGAGTTGGAGCCGTCGAGCAGAACAAGAGGACTGGCAATGGCTCAGGCCCTCGTTAGTTTCCCAGCGATGACCAAGGGAACTTCCATCCTGGACTACCTGCTCACCTACGAGAAGCTGGTGGGTGAATACGAGAAAGTTTCAGGAGCGAGGTATGATGAGAACCTCAAGATCGGCACGGTGCTGAAAGGATTGCCGAATGAGTTGAGAAAGCATATTCTGGTTGGACTTAGTCCTACTACGAGTTACACGGACATCCGAAGGAAGTTGCTCGAGTACGAGAGGAGCACGCAGTCTTGGAATGCAGAGAACATCTTGCAGTCCTTCAGCATGGAAGGACCAACAAAGCATACGCCGTACAACGGACCTCAAGCGATGGAAGTGGATCGAGTGAAAGGAGGTTACAAAGGAGACAAAGGGAAGTATGGAAAGGAAAGGAACAAAGGAAAAGGTAAAGGAGAGAAAGGAGGAAAGTCCTTTGGAAAAGGAAGATTTACCAACAAAGGAAAAGGAAAAGGAAAATGGGATACTGGCAAAGAGTCCAAAGGAAAAGGAAAAGACAGAAACAAGGGAGTTCGCGCGGTGGAAGGTGGCTACGGGTCAACGAAGTTTCAAGGAAGTTGCTACATCTGTGGCAAGCCAGGACATCGAGCCACGGATTGTTGGCAGAAAGGAGATAAAGGTAAAGGAGGAAAAGGAAAGGTGAGATACGTGGAAGAAGAAGAGACTCAAGGTCAAGGTGACCGAAGCTCTGGGAGCAATGCGAGAGCGAACAACGACGAGAGTGGACAAGTGAGAGTCATCACCGCCTCTGCTGCGAGAATGGTTCGAAGAGTTGAAGAGGTGGAAGACCAGGATGAGGAGCTTGACTTGAATGAAGTGAGCTGGAGAATGAATGAGTTGGAAGTGAGGAGACTCGAAGAGTTCGATCTCACCCTGGGAGATGAAGAGAGCGATGAAGGTGAGATAGACCCTCACGATGAGTTGATGGAGTGGTACGATTCGAAACAAACAGGCGAAGAAGTTGGCGAAGTGAGAACGCTACAAGATGAGAAGACTGTGAAGAACGTTTGCAAAGAGGTTGAGTCGTGCGAAGTTGTGCTTGACAGCGGTGCGGACTGTCATGTGTTGCCTATGGATTGGGCAGAAGAGGTCGGAGAACCTTCGACTTTCGAGTACCGACTGAAAGATGCACAGGGAAGAGTTATTCCAACACTGCCTGTGAGGCAGCAAGTGAAGTTCGTTTTCTGGAAAGAGTCAGGAAAGAAGTTGGTTATCACAGACACTGCAGTTTGTGGCAACGTTACCCAACCACTGTTCTCGATTGGGAAGATGTGGAAGCTTGGTTGGGGAACTGTAAGCGAAGATGGAAAGTTGTGGCTGAAGAAAGGAACTGTTCGAGTTCCATTGCACTTCAAGAGAAATTCTTCAATGGCGATAATGAGTATCAGTCGTGTTGTGACTGAGGAGATGAAAGTGCAACCTGTAAGGCTGGAAGAGAATCTTAAGAGAGAGCTCCAGCACAATGAGATTGGAGATTCCTGGTTCGTGCTGGAAGATGGAACTCCGGCGCGGTTTGACTGGGATGTGACAAGAACATTCGACCCCACCGGTCATTTCCCGAACCACATGTATGAAGGGGAAGGAAGCGAAGGTGACTATTTCCCGTATCGAACAACCCTCTTGGGGAAGCTTGAAAGAAGAGGAGGCGCAGTTTCTCCACTGAACGAGGTAGACTGGAATTCTCTGGAGTTCTTCGAGTGCTCGGAGGAGTGGAAGGATAGAGAGAACGTATCTCTTGGAAGAACCCCAAACGAGAGGTTTGAGGTGATGATCACTTTGCTGGAGAAAGAGATCAAAGAGCCCAATGCTTATGGAAGCTTTGAAGGACTGAAAGAGAGAGAAAAAGAGTTTGGAGGAGAAAATCAGCCCATGGAAACAGGAGAGACAACCGAAGCGGTGGTTCCGAGACAAGAGGAAAAGAAAGAGCATCGAAGCAAAGGCATTCCGGTACTCCCGGAAGACGAGACAGAAGTAATGCTTATTGGACCTCTGAGGATCACTCCGACAAGCGAACTGAAGGAGATGAAGGAAGCTTGCAAGTACTTGTATTTGTCAAAGAACGGCTCGAAAGGAGTCCTGTGGCAGAGACTAAAGAAAGAGGTTGCGACGAACAAGCTGAAGGCGACAGTGCGAGTTTGAAAGAGATCCTCTCCCAGAAGCACTACCTGCGCTCCCGAGCCAGGAAGAGATCGAGAAGCATGAGTTGACGCACCTGCCTCGGGCATCATGGTGTGAAGCCTGTCAGGCAGCAAAGAGTCGGGAGGACAACTTTGACGAAAGCACGGAGAAGCCTCAGCGACCAGTGTTTAGTTTGGACTTTATGTTCACAGGAACCCAAGGAGAAGAAGGAGAAAAAGATCCATTAGCAATTCAGCTGGTGGGAGTTGATTCTGAAACGAAGTTTCTTTTGGCCGTCGCAGTGCCAACAAAAGGAGGAGATGCCGTTATCAACCACGCAGTGGCGGAAGTCACGCGAGTTCTTGCACTGTTGGGATACAGTGACGTCGTGCTGAGAACAGACACAGAGCCTGTAATGCTTGCCATTCGGAAAGGAGTTCAAGCCGTGCGAGCAAGACATGACTTGAAGACGGAGCTACAAGACAGCGCTCCAGGCGAGCACCAAGGACTGACCGTTGAGCGGTATATCCAGACAGTGAGGAAATTGGCGAAGACTTTACTCGCGACCGTAGAGCAAAGAAGTGGAACAAAGATTGGTTCCGATGTCCCACTGTATAGTTGGGCGTTTAGACATGCGGCATGGCTGCAAAATCGGTATCACGTGGGAAGAGATGGACGAACAGCCTTTGAGGCAACTGTGGACAGAACGTACAAAGGGAAGCTTGCACCCTTTGGATCAGCGATCATTGCTAAAGCGTTGCCGAAAGCTCAAGAGAAGGGAGAACCATGGGAAAAAGGAGTGTTCCTTGGAAAGGACTACGCGAGCAACCTCAACTTAGTCGGAACAAGTCGAGGAGTGATTAAAGCAAGAACAATGCGAAGATGTGCAGATGCATATCAGCCCGAGCTATTGCAGATAGCTGTGGGAGCCCCGTGGGATCATCAGCTCAAAACACTGAGACAAAGGAAGAGAAGGGTTTTGCCCTTAGAGGAACCTGAGCTTCCCCCGCTAGAAGCCCCAAGAGAAGGGAAGGAGAAAGAAAGTGAAGCGAGGCCGCAGTCAAGTTCAGGCGGAAAACAGAGTTCAAAGAGTTCCTCGAGTAACAGCCCTCCAGGGTCAGATCCAATGTCTGAAGGAGGAATTGGAAGTGCAGGTGAAGAAAGTGACGAAGACCCCGGAGAAGTGAAAGGAAAGAGAAAAGCTGAAGAGGAGCTGTTCCCAGATGAGACCTCACTGGAAACGTTGAGACAAGAAGCAATGAAAAGAGACACAAGAGAAGCGTTGGAGGATGCAGAAGAGTCGCCAAAGAAAGGTCCGAAGCTGGACGAAGGCACAGGAGAAGTGGAAGAAAGGAGCGGAAAAGCGCCGAAGGTTGGAGAGGCAAGCGGAAGTTCCTCAAGGGTGAGTGCAGAAGTGGTTCACTACCACATTAGAAGATTTGAAAAGAGTGAAGAGCCTGAGGAACACGGAGATGAGCTCCTTGATCTGGAAGAGACAAAGATGTTCCTTGAAGAGACAAAAGAGTGGCAAGAAAAATGGAGTGAGAAGACCGAGGAGTCAAGCGAAGACTTACGAATGACATGGTCCCATGAGTATGACGATGGGCCACCAAAGCTCGACAGAGAGGACTTGGAAAAGGTCGATGCGAAATCCGAAAGAACTGAGATAGAGAGACTCTTGGAAATGAAAGTGCTCACAGAAGCTGTGCTTGATGAAAAAGGAGAGCCAGTGCCCACGCCAGAAGGTAAAGCGCCAAAGCAGTTGAGCACGAAGTACGTCCTAGACTGGAGACACAGGCAGGGCCAGTGGAAAAGACGTGCAAGGTTGGTTGCAAGAGAATACCGTTGGTTGACGGATTATGACCTCACAGCCCTGTACTCCCCGACGAGCATAAGCTCA